ACTTATGAACTCCATGCTGGCACCGCATACTCCAGGATTGGTCTGACATATGTGATATACAAAGTTCTGAATGATTAAAATGAATGATTCTGAATGAAACTTATTTCTAAACTGTTGCCCAACATTTGTGTTGGTTTTTAACGTTGTTATGGAACGTTTTATAGCGTTTTATCCATATTACCTGACATTCAGCCTCTCTCTCTGCTTGACACTCCGTAAGAAATGCAACTGTTGTCTAAATAGAAACGCGCGAGCCCAAACAGCTCACCTAACCTATCGAGGCCGCTGCGTATAGTGTCAATATTGCGACACTCAGTCTTACAAATACGTTGAATTTTTTAACGGATAGATCGATTCCGTAAATAATGCGACGCATTAGGGAAGAGGACAGGTTCCAACTCTACAGTTTATACGAAAAAATACCAAATTCTCCACCCATTTGATAGAGGTCCAAGCCCCCGTTTGTCCTTCCCGAGGATGTGCTCAAGCACTTCACTCTGCTCGGGAACTGAATCCCGGACCAGGGTGTTGGGAGGCGACAGTGTTAACCACTGTGCCACAGAGCACCACTCAGTGTACACTGTGGCAGCTGGCTAATGTCATGGATGGATATGGGACACCGCCGACACATTAGTATTGTTTCAGCCGGGATTAATTAATATTAGGGGGCTGATGAATGACAGACTCCCGCTGATATATTAATATTACTGTTAGCCTGGCCAAATACCTATTAATTAATGGGTGTTTTATGTAGGGTGGACAATTATTTTCTGCATATTGGGTGGGAAGGTTGTGACAGGGGTGATGGAGGCGGGTGTGGTAGGGAGGAGGGTGACAAACTCATGGAAACAAACTCTCAGGAATCCTAACAAATGCGGTGTTACCCCAGGACTACACTGTAGTAAGGAAAGAGAGGGAAGGAAGGGGAGGAGGTGGAGTGGCCCTACTGATGAGAAAGGAAGTTAATGGAGCTTCAAGGAGTGGTTATCCCAGGCTGTGAGGGGTTCAGAAACTACATAACCTGCTCCATGACGATGGGAGGACCAAGAGTAGTAGTAGCAGTGATATATAACCCTCCACCAAACGACAGAAGACCTAGGCAAGAGTATGATGACAACAGCAACATGGCAGTCAACACTATAATTGAGAGGGCAGCCTCTGCTGCCTGTAGAAATAGATCCCATCTGCTCATCATGAGGGACTTCAATCAGGGACGGATAGACTGGGAAAACAAGGAACCGCATGGAGGTGAGGAAACAGTGGTCGAAACTTGAGGGTGGCGACAAAAAACTTTTTAAGTCAGCATGTCAGGGAACCCACGAGAATGAGAAGCAATGATGAACCAGCGAGATTCCGCCTAGTCTTCACTCTGAATGACTTCGAACATAATGGAAATTGGTTTCGAAGCCCCCGTGGGAATGAGTGATCACAGTATACTGCTGTTTCAGTATTTGGTCAAAGAATAGTTAATGTACTTAAGGAAGGGCCCAGAAAACAAAAGGTTGGCATTCCGAAAGGGAAACTGTGATGAGATAAGAAAATTCCTAACAGATATAACTTGGGAAACAGAGCTCAGAGGAAAGACGGCCCAAGACATGATGGACTACATCACACAGAAGTGTAAGGAGGCAGCAGCAAGTTCGTCCCAGTCCAAAAGGAAAAACTCAAGGAGCTCAATAAGGAAATGCAGATGAGAAACCCATGGCTTAATCAGAGATGTAAGCTAGCAAAGCAACTAAGTGCAAGGGCGTGGAGAAACTATAGAAATAACAGGACACTTGAGAGCAGAGAAAGATACCAGAGTGCCAGGAATGAATACGTCAGGGTGAGAAGATCTAGGAGTTGATATCACGCCAAACCTGTCTCCTGAAGCCCACATCAAAAGAATAACATCTGCGGCATATGCGAGGCTGGCTAACATCAGAACTGCCTTCAGGAACCTATGTAAAGAATCATTCAGAACCTTGTATACCACATATGTAAGGCCAATCCTGGAGTATGAAACCTCAGCATGGAGCCCGTATCTTGTCAAGCACAAGACGAAGCTGGAAAAGTTCAGAGATGTGCCACTAGGGTAGTCCCAGAACTAAGAGGAAACTCTGAGTGAACTGCACCTCACGTCGCTGGAAGACAGAAGACCTCGGGGAAACATGATCACCACATACAAAATTCTCAGGGGAATTGACAGGGTAGATAAGGATGGGTTGTTTAACATGAGTGGTACTCGCACAAGGGGACACAGGTGGAAGCCGAGTACCTAAATGAGCCACAGAGACATTAGAAAGAACTTTTTCGGTGTCAGAGTAGTTAGTAAATGGAATGCATTAGGCAGAGATGTGGTGGTGGCTGACTCCATACACAGTTTCAAGTGTAGATATGATAGAGCCCAGTAGGCTCAGGAACCTGTACACCAGTTGATTGACAGTTGAGAGGCGGGACTAAAGCGCCAAATCTCAACCCCCGCAAGCACGACTAGTTGAGTACACGCCCACCACCGCGGTGCTCGTGGGGTAGTCTCTCCAGCACCCGGGAACAGTACACGCCCACCACCGCGGTGCTCGGGGTGTAGTCTCCAGCACCCGGGAACATGTTCCTGGTATTAACATAACATTTTAACATAAACACATCATTACCTTGGTATGTTTGACCGCATTATTTATGAGGCTGGACGAATTAGTAGGGATAATATATATATATTTTGGTGTTGTTGGTGGAATTCCTCCACAGTTATCACATCTACTGCTGCTACTGCTACTGTGCCGCTCTACTACTACTGCTGCTACTGCTGTGTTACGGCCACTTATGGACCAGTAACTGGGTTCTTGTTGGAGGAACCTTAGTTATTGTATCCGACCCCCGAGTCGGTAGTTCGCTTTCAAGAAAGTGGCTATATAGTGCAAAATAAAGAGGGGGGAGGAGGTGATGAACAAAACTCAGTTTCCTTCACCAATATATTAAATTGTCACCATCACCATCATTAAATATATATATAAAAGAACTGATTGACTATTTCTACACTTATATACAATGGTACCCTTCCACTCAGGATATTGATTGCCCTCACGTGCAGAGTTCGTCAAACAACGACAGTGTTTTCACTACACTCAGTACCTCTTCCCACCGTACTGGCCACAGTACTGGGAAACACTGGCTAGTTTACCTTTCTCGTGGGCCACCCCACCGACAGTGTCATAAGGTGCTTATGCCGCTTGACCACTCTCCCGCCACTTGCTGGCAGAGAACTTCAGCCACACGATGATTGGGGCCACGATACAATTAATACAGGGGTAGCGAACCCCCAGCAGAAGCTTCTAGCGTCCGGTTAGCATCGCTTCTCCACAGACACCTTACTGTCAGCCGTTTCTCCCCTTAGCCAGTCCCGGGATACACCCATCTCTTCCTGGACAACTTCACTAGCAGAAAACACACTCTGCTGCAGATCGGCGGCGGCTTAGTCATCTGGCAGTAGGTAATAGTGGCAGTAGATAGTAGGTAAACTACTATCCTCTGCACCACTGCTGCCCCCTTGCTGCTGCTGCTACTGCTGCTACTGCCGCTACTGCTGCTACTGCTACTGCTGCTGCTCCTGTTACTGCTGCTACTGCTGCTACTGCTGCTACTGCTGCTACTGCTGCTACTCTGCTGCTACTGCTGCTACTGCTGCTACTGACGCTACTGCTGCTACTGACGCTACTGCTGCTACTGACGCTACTGACGCTACTGCTGCTACTGACGCTACTGACGCTACTGCTGCTACTGACGCTGCTACTGCTACTACTGACGCTACTGCTGCTACTGCTGCTACTGCTGCTACTGCTGCTACTGATGTTACTGCTGCTACTGCTGCTACTGCTGCTACTGCTGCTACTGCTGCTACGGCTGCTACGGCTGCTACTGCTGCTACTGCTGCTACTGACGCTACTGACGCTACTGCTGCTCTGCCGCTACTGCTGCTACTGCTGCTGCTACTGTTGCTGCTGCTCTGCTGCTACTGCTGCTACTGCTGCTACTGCTGCTACTGACGCTACTGCTGCTACTGACGCTACTGCTGCTACTGCTGCTACTGACGCTACTGCTGCTACTGCTGCTACTGACGCTACTGCTGCTACTCTGCTACTGACGCTACTGCTGCTACTCTGCTACTGACGCTACTGCTGCTACTGAGGCTACTGATGTTACTGCTGCTACTGCTGCTACTGCTGCTACTGCTGCTACTGACGCTACTGCTGCTACTGACGCTACTGCTGCTACGGCTGCTACTGACGCTACTGCTGCTACTGACGCTACTGCTGCTACTGCTGCTACTGACGCTACTGCTGCTACTGCTGCTACTGACGCTACTGCTGCTACTGCTGCTACTGACGCTACTGCTGCTACTGCGGCTACTGATGTTACTGCTGCTACTGCTGCTACTGATGTTACTGCTGCTACTGACGCTACTGCTGCTACTGCTGCTACGGCTGCTGCTACTGCTACTGTTTTTTTTCAGGGATATTCCTGCGTGGGCCCTAAGTCTCTGGCTGGCCCACTAAGTGTTGCTTGTTTCTGTTTTACTTGGGCGGAGTATGAGTATTTATGACTCGTATGGTCGCTTCAGTAGATTTTGCCCCATGTCGCCCCATGTCAGAGCCGGTCGGCCGAGCGGACAGCACGCTGGACTTGTAATCCTGTGGTCCTGGGTTCGATCCCAGGCGCCGACGAGAAACACTGGGCAGAGTTTCTTTCACCCTATGCCCCTGTTACCTAGCAGTAAAATAGGTACCTGGGTGTTAGTCAGTTGTCACGGGCTGCTTCCTGGGGGGTGGAGGCCTAGTCGAGGACCGGGCCGCGGGGACACTAAAAAGCCCCGAAATCATCTCAAGATAACCTCAACAATATATATATATATATAATATATATATAATATATATATATAATATATATATAATCTTCAGGAGTCCCCTCCTCTTCTTATAAATCAAATCTTCTATTAGTTTTAAAGGAGCAAAATAAACATGTCATTTAAAATGCTTTTTATAGGCACATTGCTAATGTTATTGTTATTGCTGATTAGTTGGGTAACCAGGATACAATTTTTCATTAACCTAAATAAACCCGTTGGTTAAATCAGAGGACGTATGGATGACAACACAGTGACTGAGATTCGCGTGTATCAAGTATTTTGTTATAATCACCACAAAGAAATATCCACAAGTTCGATCCCACCATATAGCCACATTATATATTCACGGATTCATCAACTTCGTTATGAATTCATTGTGCATTATGCCATAATATTTTAATTTAGGTCCCTGCACTTACGTTGGTATATCAGATCTAAGATATAATGGTTCAGTTTCGAGTAGAGATTTTCTAGTAAGACAAGAGACAACATCAACACTACGGCGCGGGATATTTGACAGTGAACTGATTCCTCGACTCCGTGTCGAGCAGGAGTAGCAAGGAGATTTCTGTACACAGCCAGGTCGACTTCTGTCTTAGAGAGACAGGAGTAGGGAGAAGTAACCATTGACGAAACCTAAGAAATATTGTGGCGATTCGGTTACGTTTCCTGGAGTTAACTCCTTACACTCTTGACTGTCCAGCAGCGCTAGACCCACAAGATGCCTTCAGCAGGTCAGCGGAGCGTGGCGGGGGCGAGGTAGTGGATGGTGGCGCGGCACACGGGGCAGCTGACGAGGGCGGCGGCACAGGGGCGGCAGGCCACCAGGTGGGCGCAGGGCACGAACACCGCGCCAATATCAGCGTCCATACACACTATACACTGCTGCCACGACCTCAGCTCATGCAGCCGCTGCAGCAGGCGAGTCTTCTCCTCCAGTAGTTGGCCAAGCTGTAGGCCGTCGTCGTTCCTTTCATGTTGTTGATAGTCGGCATGTCTACACATTTTCGCCTGCTGCTGCTGCTGCTGCTCTTGCTGCTCCTGCTGTTGCTCCTGCTGCTGCTGTTGCTGCTGCTCCTGCTGTTGCTGCTGCTCCTGCTGTTTATGCTGCTGCTGCTGCTGCTGGTGATTTAGGAGCTGATCTTGCTGATGATATGGTTGGCAACGAAGATACACCTGCTGCTGCTGCTGTGCCCACTGTTTCTCTTGGCACTGCTGTTGCTGTTCTAGCTGCTGATAGTGGTCTTGTATACGAAGTTTCGGAGGCAGACGCGGCTCCTGACACTGACTCGTCCCTTCCTGGTGCTCCACTGTGCTGGGTAACCCGCGCTTCACCGCCTCACGCCTCGGCCGACCCGCGCACATTCCTCTCACGGGATCTGTAAAGACCACACCTTCAGTCACACGGGATTAGCAGTAGTCACAGGTGATTAGCAATAGTCACAGGTGATTAGCAATAGTCACAGGTGATTAGCAATAGTCACAGGTGATTAGCAATAGTCACAGGTGATTAGCAATAGTCACAGGTGATTAGCAATAGTCACAGGTGATTAGCAATAGTCACAGGTGATTAGCAATAGTTACAGGTGATTATTTCAGCCCATGAGTGATTACTCGACACATAGGCCTTTACATAAAGCAAAGGAAGCATCTATGGCTCTCCTGATGTATATAGTTTGCCTCTATGCGAGGAAATTTGTGAAGTAAGTCAACTTGATGTTAGGGAAAGAATATATACTATTTTCAAAAGATATCAAGAACAAACTGCCTTGTTGAGTTCAGGGCGACGCTAACTGCCTTGTTGAGTTCAGGGCGACGCTAACTGCCTTGTTGAGTTCAGGGCGACGCTAACTGCCTTGTTGAGTTCAGGGCGACGCTAACTGCCTTGTTGAGTTCAGGGCGACGCTAACTGCCTTGTTGAGTTCAGGGCGACGCTAACTGCCTTGTTGAGTTCAGGGCGACGCTAACTGCCTTGTCGAGTTCAGGGCGACGCTAACTGCCTTGTCGAGTTCAGGGCGACGCTAACTGCCTTGTCGAGTTCAGGGCGACGCTAACTGCCTTGTCTAGTTCAGGGCGACGCTAACTGCCTTGTCTAGTTCAGGGCGACGCTAACTGCCTTGTCTAGTTCAGGGCGACGCTAACTGCCTTGTCTAGTTCAGGGCGACGCTAACTGCCTTGTCTAGTTCAGGGCGACGCTAACTGCCTTGTCTAGTTCAGGGCGACGCTAACTGCCTTGTCTAGTTCAGGGCGACGCTAACTGCCTTGTCTAGTTCAGGGTGACGCTAACTGCCTTGTCTAGTTCAGGGCGACGCTAACTGCCTTGTCTAGTTCAGGGCGACGCTAACTGCCTTGTCTAGTTCAGGGTGACGCTAACTGCCTTGTTTAGTTCAAGACAGCTTATTCAGTTTTGCAAACCATCAGAAATGTAGTCAGGAATTTAAGCCCAACGGAAAGTAGCTGTTGTCACTGTATGTATGTACAGTACTGCTTGGTAGTGCGTGCTGCAGCAGTAGGAGCAGCAGCAGCAGCAGCAGTAGCAGCACCAGCACCAGCAGCACCAGCAACAGCAGCAGCAGCAGCAGCAACAACAGCAATAACAACAACAACAACAACAACAGCAGCAACAGTAAAGTGTCCACACTACTCAACAAACGTCACGGCTCAACTAATATTACAAACAACATTCTAGTTAATAATATAACAAATAGTGAACATTTAGCATAATTAAGCGCATATGTTGATGATCAATGTGCATGTTCAACTCATCCTCTAAGCTAACTGGTCACATTTTTAACGGAATCGACTCATCCGTTTGAGATGTGACCTATTAGTAAAAATGAAAGCTATTGACGTATATTATGCAGTTGGTTGACGGCGTTCATATATTTCTCGTTATGCATAACAGTTGTAATTTTTAACTGAGTGGCGCATCCACAGAACGGCCTTTTCAATCTCCAACACAACTGATTATTATTTTTTAATGTAAAGAACACACTAGTCTTTTAACAGAGAAGAAATATCAGAGTTTAGCAGCTTACACTAATTTCCGGGTGACTGGTAGCTAATGAACCAACTCGTATACACTATTGGCCAGAATGTTCGGGTATAAGGAATTGGCTGTGGGTCAAACGACGCTGTCAATGTACATAACTGGGCAGTGTTTGTCCTCAACACTAAACCCTGACACTGTTAATTACAGCAGTCACTACCAGTACCAAGCTGACAGTCTCTACCAGTACCAAGCTGGACAATCTGTACCGGTACCAAGCTGGACAGTCTCTACCAGTACCAAGCTGGACAATCTGTACCAGTACCAAGCTGGACAGCTGCCAAGCGCTCGTAACACCACCACACAAACTGCACTTAACACCAGGCACTCACCATAGATGGTGCCAAACACTAACTAGCCAACCATGGCACTAATTACCTGTACGGATCAGATAAACGCAGGTAAGACACTGCCAGGAGCGACCAGCGGACACATACCAGGGTTCCTGCCCAGCGGCCTCAGACACATAATGGAGACACGCACACACACACACACACATATATACGCGAACTCGTGTGATTCACGTCCATCACTCTTCAACAGCGACGCCGATAAGATAAGCTGAAATGTCTGGACATGAACGGTGGTTATCAGAGAGCGTTCAGACATGTTTGGGTGATAACGGCTAAGGTTATCTTGGAACTGTCATTGGTGGTGTAATGCCTCCTTCCTGGTCTGATATACTGTATATATATGCCCCTTGTTTACGGTTGTTTGTGTGTTTGGCTTCTTACGTATAATTTGCTTATAAACAACTCGTAAACTTGCAAACAAAAACACATGGAGGACATCTTAATGCTTTAAGAAGACCTGGACAAGCTGAAGTAATGGTCCAACAAATCGTTGTTAGAGTTTAACCCAAGCAAATGTAATGTAATGAAGGTAGGTGTAGGGAGCAGGAGGCCAGATACAAGGTACCATTTAGGAGATGAAATTCTTCAATAGTCAGAAATACCTGGGGGTTGATATCACGCCAGACCTGTCCCCTGCAGCCCATATCAAGAGGATAACTTCAGCGGCATATGTCAGGTTGGCTAACATTAGAACGGCATTTAGAAACTTGTGTAATCATTCAGAACTTTGTATACTACATATGTCAGACCAATCCTGGAGTATGCAGCTCCAGCATGGAGTCCATATCTACGTGAAGAGACCACGGGAATTAAACCAAACGTTGCTGGAAAACAGAAGAGTTAGAGGGGACATGATCACCACATTCAAGATTCTCAAGGGAATTGATAAGGTAGATAAAGACAGGCTATTTAACACAAGGGGCACACGCACTAGGGGACACAGGTGGAAACTGAGTGCCCAAATGAGCCACAGAGATATTAGAAAGAACTTTTTTTGCGTCAGAGTGGTTGACAAATGGAATGCATTAGGCAGTGATGTGGTGGAGGCTGACTCCATACACAGTTTCAAGTGTAGATATGATAGAGCCCAATAGGCTCAGGAACCTGTACACCTGTTGATTGACGGTTGAGAGGCGGGTCCAAAGAGCCAGAGCTCATCCCCCGCAAGCACAACTAGGTGAGTATAACTAAGCGAGTACACACACACCAGTGACTCCTGTGAAGCATGAAATTGTAGTTTGGTTTTCCATCGAGTTTTTCAATAGATATTTCAGGTGTTGGTCGCACACACAACGGAACGGCACCGTTGTCACAATGTTTTATCAGTAAACATAGTTACTGGAGCTATTAGCTAAAACTCAGCTACTGGAGGGCTACAGTCACTCCTTCCTCAGCTACTGGAGGGCTACAGTCACTCCTTCCTCAGCTACTGGAGGGCTACAGTCACTCCTTCCTCAGCTACTGGAGGGCTACAGTCACTCCTTCCTCAGCTACTGGAGGGCTACAGTCACTCCTTCCTCAGCTACTGGAGGGCTACAGTCACTCCTTCCTCAGCCACTGGAGGGGCTACAGTCACTCCTTCCTCAGCTACTGGAGGGCTACAGTCACTCCTTCCTCAGCTACTGGAGGGCTACAGTCACTCCTTCCTCAGCCACTGGAGGGGCTACAGTCACTCCTTCCTCAGCTACTGGAGGGCTACAGTCACTCCTTCCTCAGCTACTGGAGGGGCTACAGTCACTCCTCCCTCAGCTTCCCTGTCTCTCACCCTAACAGTCTCTCACCCTAACAGTCTCTCACCTTCCCTCTGTTCTGGTTTGGTTGTGTGTCTGACAACTGTGATTTAAAGGCCTTTGTAGACTATCTTGGACCACAACGAGGGAGTGGAGGGAGACAGTGAGGCAGTGAGTGAGACAGACAGTGAGGCAGGCAGACACAGACAGTGAGGCAGACAGACAGACAGACAGTGAGGCAGACACAGTGAGGCAGGCAGACACAGACAGTGAGGCAGACAGACAGACAGACAGTGAGGCAGACACAGTGAGGCAGGCAGACACAGACAGTGAGGCAGACAGACAGACAGACAGTGAGGCAGACACAGTGAGGCAGGCAGACAGTGAGGCAGGCAGACAGACAGACAGAGACAGAAAATGACAGAAACAGACACCAGGTAAAAGACGAGAATTAAAAGCATTTACTCTGCTAAGGTAAATCTGACCAACACACCCTGGGGGGGGGGGGGGCGCCGTGCAGGAGGCCAGCACCTCTCAGCACACAACACACACACACCAGACGACACACACACACACACACACACACACACACACACACACACACACTCACACACACACACACACACACACACACACTCACACACACACACACACTCACCAGACGACACACACACACCAGGCACACGGGGGCCGCCGCTCGTTTATACTAGGGGAAAATATGCCAGGGGGTAATTTGCATATACCAAAATTTGCATGTGTCGGCGGAAATACGTGCCCCCCCCCCCACTCTTGCGTGTGTGTACTCACCTATTTGTGCTTGCGGGGGTTGAGCTTTGGCTCTTTGGTCCCGCCTCTCAACCGTCAATCAACTGGTGTACAGATTCCTGAGCCTACTGGGCTCTATTATATCTACATTTAAAACTGTGTATGGAGTCAGCCTCCACCACATCACTGCCTAATGCATTTCATCCGTTAGCTACTCTGACACTGAAAAAGTTCCTTCTAACGTCTCTGTGGCTCATGTGGGTGCTCAGTTTCCACCTATGTCCCCTTGTTCGTGTCCCACCAGTGTTGAATAGATTATCCTTGTTTACCCGGTCGATTCCTCTGAGGATTTTGTAGGTTGTGATCATGTCTCCCCTTACTCTTCTGTCTTCCAGTGTCGTAAGGTGCATTTCCCGCAGCCTTTCCTCGTAACTCATGCCTATTAGTTCTGGGACTAGTCTAGTGGCATACCTTTGGACTTTTTCCAGCTTCGTCTTGTGCTTGACAAGGTACGGGCTCCATGCTGGGGCCGCATACTCCAGGATTGGTCTTACATATGTTGTGTACAAGATTCTGAATGATTCCTTACACAGGTTCCTGAACGCTGTTCTGATGTTAGCCAGCCTCGCATATACCGCAGACGTTATTCTCTTTATGTGGGCTTCAGGAGACAGGTTTGGTGTGATATCAACTCCTAGATCTTTCTCTCTGTTTCATTAAGTACTTCACCTCCTATTCTGTATCCTGTGTCTGGCCTCATGTTTCTACAGCCTAGTTTCATTACTTTGCATTTACTCGGGTTGAACTTCAACAACCATTTGTTGGACCATTCACTCAGTCTGTCCAGGTCATCTTGTAGCCTCCTACTATCATCCTCAGTTTCAATCCTCCTCATAATTTTTGCATCATCGGCAAACATTGAGAGAAACAATTCTATACCCTCTGGAAGATCATTTACATTTATTGAGTGTGTGGTGTGTGTGTGTGTGTGTGTGTGTGTGTGTGTGTGTGTGTGTGTGTGTGTGTGTGTGTGTGTGTGTGTGTGTGTGCGTGTGTGTGTGTGTGCGTGTGTGTGCGTGTGTGTACAACCGCAGATAATCCTGGGCAATAAGCCAGCAGGATAAAGCCAAGCAGCAGACGCGGGTTAACACACGTTATGAAGGATGAAAGAAACGTTATGAAGGATGAAAGAAACGTTAGACCGAAAACGTGAAAGAACGACTTTAAGAGAAAACGGTATGGAGGTGTGACTATGATATTACCTGGAGCTTCACGCAGCACAAGAGACTAGAGAGATGCTGGTGAGGAGTAATAATTAGAGGAACTTTAATGCTGGCTCTCTTGTTGCTCTTGCCTCTCTCACTACTTAGTTAAGTGTACTAATCTACTTAGATTTTATTAGATTATTAAAGGTTCTAATAATCCGTGTGGGAGGGATTATAGGAGTTCTGTTATATTGTTGATGCCTTAATTATCAAGTGCCGGGCTCTGTGTCTCTTGGAGATAAGATTAACATCACCTGCCACCTGAGGAGCTGGTCTCCAGTCACCCCCTCCCCCCCCCTCTCCCCTCCTCCCACCCCTCCTATTGTGGGGTGACAGTCACCAGGTGGCTCCCTGTCTCCCCCACCCCCTACCCCCTCCCTCTCCCCACCACCTACCCCCTCCCTCTCCCCACACCAGTACCACCACCACAACCACAACCACCACCACCCCCAACCACCAGCACCACCCACAACCACTATAGACACACTTTCCTAGCGCCACTTTTTTTTTTTTTTTACTAAATTTACAAATGACGAAAGTTGGTCACCCAATTACTGCCGTAATGAGCGAACTCATTACAGTTACCTTTCCTCCTTCCCCCCTCCCCCTCCCTTCCCCCCTCCCCCTCCCTTCCCCCCTCCCCCACCCTTCCCCCCTCCCCCACCCTTCCCCCTCCCCCACCCTTCCCCCATCCCCCACCCTTCCCCCATCCCCCACCCTTCCTTCTCCCTTCCCCTCCCCCCCCTCCCCCCCCCAGAACACTCCCCCACCATCAGCAACTCGCCCGACGAAGGAAAGTTCGGAGGTGGAATCAAAGCTTTACTGAACGTGTAAATGAAAATATTATGATTGAAGTGAAACTAATTATGAATTTGAATTAAATGATTGAAGTGAAATTAAATTTTGGGATTTAAATAACTTTTGTGAAATTATATTTAAATCATATATTGGAGAGTTTAAATTACATACGTGATAAGGAGACACTATTGGTAACTTTGTGGAGGGGGGGTTAACCCGGCGGTGCCCGGGTCTATTTCCCCCCTCCCCTACCCCCCCCCCCTCTCTCTCTCTCTCTCTCTCTCTCTGCCGCGTTATGGCCTCTGGCTATCATATGCTTTGCTCCAGCTTTATTTATTGCTTTATTAATGCTCTGAGTCTTTATTGAGGGACTTTATTGAGTGGCTGGTTGATATCTTCACACCAGGGACCGCGTCTGCCATTCACTGACATTCCAATTTGGTCACATAATATGTTATGTCTTGGGGTCAGTTTGGTGTAAAGTGGTCCTCTTGTTGTAAGGGTTCAAGGGTAGTTATTGCATATATTGTTCACTTGTGATAGAACATGTTCTTGCTGTTCAGCAAGAACATGGTCTAAGACTTTCTGAATGGCTGCTTTTAGGATGAATCTTTTCTGAATAACATTATTTGGTCTTGGTGACCAAATATTGACCAGGGACCCCAGGGACCCCAGGGACCAAGTTAGACACTTTCCATTAATATTTTAAGTCACTAGTAGCCTCCCGGCTATAATCCTAGCCTCCCGGCTATAATCCTAGCCTCCCGGCTATAATCCTAGCCTCCCGGCTATAATCCTAGCCTCCCGGCTATAATCCTAGCCTCCCGGCTATAATCCTAGCCTCCCGGCTATAATCCTAGCCTCCCGGCTATAATCCTAGCCTCCCGGCTATAATCCTAGCCTCCCGGCTATAATCCTAGCCTCCCGGCCTTAATCCTAGCCTCCCGGCTATAATCCTAGCCTCCCGGCCTTAATCCTAGCCTCCCGGCCATAATCCTAGCCTCCCGGCTATAATCCTAGCCTCCCGGCTATAATCCTAGCCTCCCGGCTATAATCCTAGCCTCCCGGCCTTAATCCTAGCCTCCCGGCTATAATCCTAGCCTCCCGGCTATAATCCTAGCCTCCCGGCTATAATCCAAGCCTCCCGGCTATAATCCTAGCCTCCAGGGCTTAATCCTAGCTTCCCATACTTATTCCTAGTCTCCCATCCTTAATCCTAGTCTCCTGGCCTTAATCCTAGCCTCCCATCCTTAATTCTAGCCTCCCGGTCTTAATCCTAGCCTCCCAACATTAATCCTAGCCTCCCAACATTAATCCTAGCCTCTCAACACTAATCCTAGCCTCCCGGTCTTAATCCTAGCCTCCCAACATTAATCCTAGCCTCCCGGTCTTAATCCTAGCCTCCCAACATTAATCCTAGCCTCCCAACATTAATCCTAGCCTCCCGGTCTTAATCCTAGCCTCCCAACATTAATCCTAGCCACCCCCCATTCTTAATCCCAACCCATAGTCCCCCTATGGGAGCCGGTCGGCCGAGCGGACAGCACGCTGGACTTGTGATCCTGTGGTCCCGGGTTCGATCCCGGGCGTCGGAGAGAAAAAATGGGCAGAGTTTCTTTCACCCTATGCCCCTATTACCTAGCAGTAAAATAGGTACCTGGGTGTTAGTCAGCTGTCACGGGCTGCTTCCTGGGGGTGGAGGCCTGGTCGAGGACCGGGCCGCGGGGACACTAAAGCCCCGAAATCATCTCTAGATAACCTCAAGATAACCTCCCCGTCCCTCTCAAACAGCAGCCCCAGATATGGCTGTGCTGTACATCACATTGAAGAAAACCGAGTCACACACGCTTGTCAAAGAGGCTTAAGAAAGGCGCCGGAGCACACGCAGAGAGACACAGACAGCCCCGGCAATCATTAGGATGGTGATTGTGGTAGATGGTGCTGATGATGGTGAGTGTGATGATGGTGACATTCAACATGATGGACGGAGACTCCCTCCTGCTGACTGCAGGCCGGTGTTAGGGGGGGGGGTCCATAATGAGCCTCGGGGGCCCTCGTGGGAGTAATTTGGCGAATTGTTGATCAAGTGAGCTGGGGTGCACCGGGCGTCGGGTCCCGCCCGCTCCCGCCTGGGCTGTGACGCCGTGTTGTTCAGCGAAAGCTTAGAGCAAGAACAAGAGAGAGAACGCTTAGAAGAACAAGCGAGCAGAACGTTTTGAACAAGAACGGAGAACGTTTTGAACATGAACAGGAGTTGAGAATGTTTTGAACATGAACAAAAGAGAATGTTTAGAAGAACAGGGAGGAGAACGTTTATAACAAGATGAGAGCATTTAGAACAAGAACAAGGGATAGATGAGAAATTCTTAGCTACCATGAGTCTCCCAGAGACACCGTCAGTCTCCCAGAGCCACCGTCAGCCTCCCCAGAGCCACCGTCAGCCTCCCCAGAGCCACCGTCAGTCTCCCAGAGCCACCGTCAGTCTCCCAGAGCCACCGTCAGTCTCCCAGAGCCACCGTCAGTCTCCCAGAGCCACCGTCAGTCTCCCAGAGCCACCGTCAGTCTCCCAGAGCCACCGTCAGTCTCCCAGAGCCACCGTCAGTCTCCCAGAGCCACCGTCAGCCTCCCCAGAGCCACCGTCAGTCTCCCAGAGCCACCGTCAGTCTCCCAGAGCCACCGTCAGTCTCCCAGAGCCACCGTCAGTCTCCCAGAGCCACCGTCAGCCTTCCCAGAGCCACCGTCAGCCTTCCCAGAGCCACCGTCAGCCTCCCCAGAGCCACCGTCAGCCTCCCCAGAGCCACCGTCAGCCTCCCCAGAGCCACCGTCAGCCTCCCCAGAGCCACCGTCAGTCTCCCAGAGCCACCGTCAGTCTCCCAGAGCCACCGTCAGTCTCCCAGAGCCACCGTCAGCCTTCCCAGAGCCACCGTCAGCCTTCCCAGAGCCACCGTCAGCCTCCCCAGAGCCACCGTCAGCCTCCCCAGAGCCACCGTCAGCCTCCCCAGAGCCACCGTCAGCCTCCCCAGAGCCACCGTCAGTCTCCCCAGAGCCACCGTCAGCCTCCCCAGAGCCACCGTCAGTCTCCCAGAGCCACCGTCAGTCTCCCAGAGCCACCGTCAGCCTCCCAGAGCCACCGTCAGCCTCCCAGAGCCACCGCCAGCCTCCCCAGAGCCACCGCCAGCCTCCCCAGAGCCACCGCCAGCCTCCCCAGAGCCACCGCCAGCCTCCCCAGAGCCACCGCCAGCCTCCCCAGAGCCACCGTCAGCCTCCCAGAGCCACCGTCAGCCTCCCCAGAGCCACCGCCAGCCTCCCCAGAGCCACCGCCAGCCTCCCAGAGCCACCGCCGGCCTCCCCAGAGCCACCGCCGGCCTCCCCAGAGCCACCGCCGGCCTCCCCAGAGCCACCGCCGGCCTCCCCAGAGGCGCCGCCGGCCTCCCCAGAGGCGCCGGCGGCCTCCCCAGAGGCGCCGTCGGCCTCCCCAGAGCCACCGCCGGCCTCCCCAGAGCCACCGCCGGCCTCCCCAGAGCCACCGCCGGCCTCCCCAGAGCCACCGCCGGCCTCCCCAGAGGCGCCGCCGGCCTCCCCAGAGGCGCCGTCGGCCTCCCCAGAGGCGCCGTCGGCCTCCCCAGAGGCGCCGTCGGCCTCCCCAGAGGCGCCGTCGGCCTCCCCAGAGGCGCCGTCGGCCTCCCCAGAGGCGCCGTCGGCCTCCCCAGAGGCGCCGTCGGCCTCCCCAGAGGCGCCGTCGCCCTCCCCAGAGGCGCCGTCGCCCTCCCCAGAGGCGCCGTCGCCCTCCCCAGAGGCGCCGTCGCCCTCCCCAGAGGCGCCGTCGCCCTCCCCAGAGGCGCCGTCGCCCTCCCCAGAGGCGCCGTCGCCCTCCCCAGAGGCGCCGTCGCCTTCCCCAGAGGCGCCGTCGCCCTCCCCAGAGGCGCCGTCGCCTTCCCCAGAGGCGCCGTCGCCTTCCCCAGAGGCGCCGTCGCCCTCCCCAGAGCCGCGGTGGTCCAGGAAATGAAGGCAATTATCGTCCGTCACATTAAGAATTTTTTCCACGATATCCGACCTGCGATAGATAATGAAATGCAAACATCTCCGACGGAGACAACGCTGATAGATGTGTGTGTAGAGGCGGCTGGTGGAGGGATGGGGGATGGGAGGGGTGATTAGATGGGAGGGGAGAGGGATGGGTGAGTGCAGGGGGAGAGGTAGGCGGAGCGGCGGGAGTCCCGGAGCTGGAGCCCAGCGTGATAGACGGCACACGATGATAAGATTTCCCCCCAGCCAAGCTTCGTTTTGGGGTAAGTACTTGTGGAGGCAGCAGCCGGCCGAGCGCCAGGGAGGCTAGCCAGCCGACCCTACACCGTGATGACAAATTCCTGCACCAGATAAAGCCCCAGGAAAGTAGCAAGGAAATGTACCAATCGATACAATAAGCAAGGCACCAAGCCACAGGCTATACAAAGGCACCGAGCCACAGGCTATACAAAGGCACCGAGCCACAGGCTATACAAAGGCACCGAGCCACAGGCTATACAAAGGCACCGAGCCACAGGCTATACAAACGCACCGAGCCACAGGCTATACAAAGGCACCGAGCCACAGGCTATACAAAGGCACCGAGCCACAGTCTATACAAAGGCACCGAGCCCCAGTCTATACAAAGGCACTGAGCCCCAGACTGTACAAAGGCGCCAAGCCCCAGACTATACAAAGGCGCCAAGCCACAGACTATACAAAGGCACCGAGCCCCAGACTGTACAAAGGCACCGAGCCCCAGACTGTACAAAGGCACCGAGCCCCAGACTGTACAAAGGCACCGAGCCCCAGACTGTACAAAGGCACCGAGCCCCAGACTGTACAAAGGCACCGAGCCCCAGACTGTACAAAGGCACCGAGCCCCAGACTGTACAAAGGCACCGAGCCCCAGACTGTACAAAGGCACCGAGCCCCAGACTGTACAAAGGCACCGAGCCCCAGACTGTACAAAGGCACCGAGCCCCAGGCTATACAAAGGCACCGAGCCCCAGACTATACAAAGGCACCGAGCCCCAGACTATACAAAGGCACCGAGCCCCAGACTATACAAAGGCACCGAGCCCCAGACTATACAAAGGCACCAAGTCAGGCAAATGGAGAACAATCCAACCTTGACAACATGTTTGGCCCTGAGGAGAGGTGCCAAATCAAACTCCATAAATGGTACAAATCCAAACACTTGAGAAGCTACCCAACCCTGCAAAACCAAAGGGGCCAAGCCATCCACAACTAAATGTACCAAGCCAAGCACTGGAGAAGTCACTAAGCCAGGTACAAGCACTGGAGAAGTCACTAAGCCAGGTTCAAGCACTGGAGAAGTCACTAAGCCAGGTTCAAGCACTAGGTAATTTCATAATCCAAGCCCTATTTTAAGAGGAATAAAGCCAAGTACAAGGAGGTAAACCAAATCGTGTCATAGGAAATACATACCAAGCCAGATACTATGGAAAGCCAGTAAGCCAGGACCTATCGGCATGCCATCAAGTAATGGATCAGGAGAACTAACCCATATAACAAGGAAAGCTCTTTGCCAGTCAAGAGAGATAAGAGAAAGCCAGGCTCCATGATACGCGATAACCCATACGCCATGAATACTAAGCGAGGCATTATAAAGCACAAGCCAAGCCAGAGAGTAGGGGTGGCTTTCACAGCAAAGCTCGGGGGGTACCGGAAGACCAGGGGAGGGAACACTGATTGTGAAGGATTGACCCGATAGCTCTGAAAAGAGAAGTCCACAAAGTCTGAGAGAGAGTGAGAGAATGAGAATGTAAGTGGGATAAGGAATTGGATAGTGACCTTTCTCGCACATTTGTATTAATCTCTCAGACACTACAACTGTTCCTGTCCCTACAAGCCCGACACTACGGAAGTTCCTATTGGACCGCGATCGTCCAATCCAAGGACCCCCTCAGCTGTGTTTACATTACCAGAGCTCTTCACAATCACATAAATAGACCACTGACCTTATCAACTGTATTCAGTCCGTCTCGGACCACGATCAAGAGAACATGCCGCTCTTCGAGCCCGGACTCCAGCTGCACCACACAGACGCTCTTCAAGGACCACCTCGGACTCCAGTGACTCGCTCTCGACTATGGCTTCATCTCTCAAATTACTTGTTGATTGAGAGAACAGTGTTGGTGGTCACCGTGTCCCTCTGTGTGTGTTGAAGAGTTAAGACAATAGGTAAGAGAGGTTAAGACAACTTAAGGTCTGTGATCTGGTCTTGATTCGAATGTAATCCAGTATGTAATTCATGTTCTTAAAGACCATCACTTGACCCTTGCAGTCTCTTATATTCCATTAAAGTTCTGAATTTGTTCAGTATATTTTTTTGTTCTTAGTTGTCTATATTACGTATGATTCCCGGGCAGTTCGGGTGCGGACTCGTAGATGGCGCTGGAACTGCCACTCTACCCCCCCTGACAAGGGCGACGTGTCCGTAACAGTTAGTCAGCTGTCACGGGCTGCTTCCTGGTGTGTGTGTGTGGGGGGGGGGGGGGGGGTTGTAAAAAATTAGTAGTTAGTAAACAGTTGATTAACAGTTGAGAGGCGGGCCGAAACAGCAAAGCTCAACCCCGCAAAAAACAACTAGGTGAACAACTAGGTGAACAACTAGGTGAACACACACACACACCGTAGAGCTAGTGGGTTACGAACGGTGTCTCGAGACTGCCCAAGACTCAGGCGTGAGAGAGTAGAAGAGCAAGACGACGAGAGAAATAGAGGAGTAGAGGAGACGAGGGAGTAGCGGAGAGACGACGGCTCCTTTTTCCATCCCCTAAGGATGGAAAAGGAGCCGAGTGACAATGAGAGAGAGGAAGGAGAGAGAGAGAGAGAACTCCTCAGTATTCATGCCAGGTTCCCACCATCACATTTCCAAATGAAAACATTTAACATTCGCGGTAGTCACACCCCGGACACAGATAGGTCAAGCCTCGCGTGAATAATGCATCAGTCTGCCTTCAAATGAAAGAAAACAGGCAGTGGAACTCACAACACAGAATAGTTGCAAAGTGGCTGGACTTTTACACGTGACGTAGTTGGACGTTAACTACGCCATTACTCTAACCTGCAGGTCGTACTGAACGTTACAGAGGAATAACTTCACAAGTTTCACGAAGATGTGTTTCACGAGGCGAGAGGGAACAACTAAGTCCCCCCTAACATTAACCCATCCACCGTTTTCTTTAACACCATGAGTAAAAAAAAATAAAGACTTCAGTGTTTACATAAAGATGTGTGTGTGTACATAGCTGGTTAAAGCCACCACCAGTGGTAGATAAAGCCGCCACCAGTGGTGGATAAAGCCACCACCAGCGGTGGATAAAGCCACCATTGTCTACCCAATGAACATTCAGTACCGACAATAATAAAAATAATAACGAAGACAGGAAGCAAAAAATGCAATGTTTCAGGAGCTGAGGAGACAAAATATGACAAAAAGCAGAGTAAGACAAAGACAAAATATAAATAAAACAAAATAAAGAAAAACAAGCAAGTAAAACAGGAAAGACGATCAATGGTGAGAGACTGACTGTGTACGGGGGCAGAGACACGCCCCCGTACAGAGACACGCCCCCGTACACAGACACGCCCCCGTACAGAGACACACGCCCCCGTACAGAGACACGCCCCCGTACAGAGACACGCCCCCGTACACAGACAGACACACGCCCCCGTACACAGACAGACACACGCCCCCGTACAGACACATGCCCCCGTACAGAGACACGCCCCCGTACAGAGACACGCCCCCGTACAGACACACGCCCCCGTACAGACACATGCCCCCGTACAGACACATGCCCCCCGTACAAAGACACACGCCCCCCGTACAGAGACAGACACACACGCCCCCGTACACAGACAGACACACGCCCCCGTACACAGACAGACACACAAGCCCCCCGTACAGACACAGACACACACGCCCCCCGTACACAGACAGACACACACGCCCCCGTACACAGACAGACACACACGCCCCCGTACACAGACAGACACACGCCCCCGTACACAGACTCTGCATGACTGACACACACTGATTGTTTTCTTCGAGTGGGTGACTGCAGGGAATGAAAATCGGACGAGTGATTGAAATTAAAGAATTTGAAACTGATTAGAAACCGTCTCTGATGGGCACTTCCACGTTGTGATCACAAACGTGATTCTGGAGTTTTCTGATGGTTCCAATCTTTCGAAATTGGTTTTGTGCTTACCTAACTGATCGAAATGTGCTTACCAACTAATCTAAGAGATCTAAATGTGCTTACCAACTAATCTAAGAGATCTAAATGTGCTTACCAACTAATCTAAGAGATCTAAATGTGCTTACCAACTAATCTAAGAGATCTAAATGTGCTTACCAACTAATCTGAGCTATACAAGAGATATATACAAGAGTTGTTACATTCTTGTACAGCCACTAGTACGCGTAGCGTTTCGGGCAGGTCCCTGGAATACGATCCCCGCCGCGAAGAATCGTTGTTACAACCAAGTACACATTTTACTGTTGCGTTAAACAGAGGCTACAGTTAAGAATTTGCGCCCAGTAAATCCTCCCCGGCCAGGATACGAACCCATGACAAAGCGCTCGCGGAACGCCAGGCGAGTGTCTTACCACTACACCACGGAGACTTGCTGTTGGGACTCTAGCAGTCTTTCCCTTCAATGTAACCCAAGAAGCACAAGAGTTTCAAGCTCCTTCAAGCTCCCCAAGCCACAGTGTAAGAGAGCGGTTAGGAGGTACTTCTTTACCCACTGGGTACTACACCCATGAAATACCTTCCTCGTCCAAGCCATAATTTCCAACATCTTGAGGTTATCTTGAAATGATTTCGGGGCTTTAGTGTCCCCGCGGCCCGGTCGTCGACCAGGCCTCCTGGTTGCCGGATAGGTCAAATATATTAACATAGGTCAAAATTCAGCAGAATAACCTTTGGAAGAATAGGGGGACCTTTGGCACGGGCCTCGTAGGTCCGTCGAGGCCACTAGAGGACCGCCTCTAGTGGGCCTCGTCTACAGCGCCTCCTTCCTGGCGTTTAACAGGTGAGGACGGTGTGATGCAGGTACTGAAGAGTCTCTCACCTTGTGCTTATTATGTGTACTTATTTCTATACTGTGTACTTCTGTGAAGTACTGTGTACTTCCAGTTCTTCCTCGATTGCGCAGACTACTCTGCCACGGAACCCATAAATTTCCATAACATTGTAACACAATAGAAACCCGGAATTAACTAACCCTATTAAATTACCATTGATAAATCCGTACGGATTATTTTAAGTTAAGTTCACCAGAGTTCCGTCTCCAGCCGCACTCTATCATATTAAAATTGTAAACATTGTTCCCCATTTTAACTAGACCCACACGAGGCTCTCTCAGCCCTGCTCTCAGCCCTGCTCTCAGCCCTGCTCTTAGCCCTGCTCTTTGCCCTGCTCTCAGCCCTGCTGCTCTTAGCCTCTCCTGCTTCAGAATACAAAGCAATTTGGGCTTCTGAAAAGTTTTCTATTATTTCTCACTCAGACCTACCGCAGCTATTAGTCATAAGAGGCAGCACCTGCATCAGTAATGAGAAAAAGGAATGGGAAGGATTATATATATATATATATATATATATATATATATATATATATATATATATATATATATATATATATATATATATAATATAATAAATATATATAACAGCAATAATGTTGTTGAATATAACCGAAAGGGTAAGAATGCTTCTAACACGAATCTTCTCAATATTTCTTATGTTTTTCTTCACTGTCGGGGGGTAGTTGAAAAAATAACTTAGCAAAGTTCATTTTCACACTTTATTTATGGTCTGACGCCTAGAAGCGTTTCGCAAGACACTTCTTACATTTTGAAACACAATTTTACATGCTCAGACCTTGCTTATATTCGCTTTTGGGTGAGGTGACAGGACACAAATCAATGAGAAAAGACAGAACCCGAATCAATGGGTACATTGCCAGTTTTATCGTCTTGCTTTTGTTCTGGTTCGTGGTCTTGAAGATGGTAAAATGTAATTGTGTGTTAATTGGCTGTAGATTGTTGATTGCTGTTGATTCCAGCAATCAACAGCCAATTAATATAATTAATAATTATAGTATAATATAATTTTATTTATTATATATAATTAACATAATTATAATATACATAATATTGATTTTCAAATAACAAGGAAACCAGAGGGATATGTCTTACCACACAAACACACATCCAGTAATTTGCTGCACACTATTTTTGAGTTAGATGAGCACTTGTTTAATAACGTCAGTTGGCGTCATCTTAATGAGGTCTAAAGGCTTAACATTTAACCTCGCTCATAATATATTACCTTGTTTATAGGTGTACACACACACACACACACACACACACACACACACAACACACACACACACACACACACACACACACACACACACACACACACACACACTCACACACTCACACACTCACACACTGGGGGGGCCTCGTAGCGTGGTGGATAGCGCGCAGTACTCGTAATTCTGTGGCATAACCATACTATGTGGCCACACATAACCATACTATGTGGCCACACATGACCATACTGGTTACCTCTCCCCTTATGTTTCTTATCTCTCTCCCCCTCACCTCTCCTCATCCTGGCCTTCCCTTCACCTGTCGTTCCCTCTCTCTCACCTTCCCTCCGTCTCCCCTTCTGAGAGGGAGTAGTCAGTAGTCCAGCTGGCCGGACAGTAGTCCAGCTGGCCGGACAGTAGTCCAGCTGGCCGGACAGTAGTCCAGCTGGCCGGACAGTAGTCCAGCTGGCCGGACAGTAGTCCAGCTGGCCGGACAGTAGTCCAGCTGGCCGGACAGTAGTCCAGCTGGCCGGACAGTAGTCCAGCTGGCCGGACAGTAGTCCAGCTGGCCGGACAGTAGTCCAGCTGGCCGGACAGTAGTCCAGCTGGCCGGGCAGTAGTCCAGCTGGCCGGGCAGTAGTCCAGCTGGCCGGGCAGTAGTCCAGCTGGCCGGGCAGTAGTCCAGCTGGCCGGGCAGTAGTCCAGCTGGCCGGACAGTAGTCCAGCTGGCCGGACAGTAGTCCAGCTGGCCGGACAGTAGTCCAGCTGGCCGGACAGTAGTCCAGCTGGCCGGACAGCAGTCCACTACCAATCTCTGGACGGGTACAAAACCGTCACACATTGACTGCCACATTATAGGCTGAAGAAGTTACTGACTTAGAGAGCACACAGTAAACCTTTACCGACCGACTCCACTCAATAATACACACCAATTATTGAGACCACTAAAACGCCATCAAATCCCACACTCCGGAACATAAGCGAGTCCGGTACATCTTATTCTACACCAGGAAATTATTTAAGGGACTTGACTGAAGTCTGCACGTTGAAATAATTCATTAGAAGACAAAGAGACACAATAGAATATGCAAAAGAGCGCAAATGAAAGTTTGGGAACAATATGTACCCCGAGAGACAATTGTACCAACATGGAGGTCCCAGGGCTTTCAAAACTCTCACCGCTAAACATATTGGGCATTACTAACAGACCTGTGTATTTAATTATGTAAGGCTGCGTGCAACGGCAGCCAAAAGCCTGGTCGACATAGTTTCGGCCCACAAGGCCTGGTCCGAAACTGGGCCGCGGGTACATTGATCTCCGGAGCCACCTGAAGGTGGTCTGAAAGCAGCAGGGGATAGACGCCGAGGCTGGCCCAAGAGCTACACTCTACACACAGGATATGAACACAATTGTTCATATACAATAATTGTTTAAGGCTTTTACATGACATTTTAGCTAACATATACCACACTGCTGCTGGGAAAATTTACACCGTTTGGGTGCCTAGGTTATATTGCACTCGCTCCTCACATAGTGTACCTCTGGTGGGGCTCTCCTCACATAGTGTACCTCTGTTGCTCTACCGTCATATAGTGTACCTCTGTTGCTCTCTCCTCACATAGATTACCTCTGTTGCTCTACCCTCACATAGTGTACCTCTGTTGGTTTCTCTTCACATAGTGTACCTCGGTTGCTCTCTTCTCACATAGTGTAAGGGCCTCGTAGCCTGGTGGATAGCGCGCAGGACTCGTAATTCTGTGGCGCGGGTTCGATTCCCGCACGAGGCAGAAACAATGGGCACAGTTTCTTTCACCCTGAATGCCCCTGTTACCTAGCAGTAAATAGGTACCTGGGTGTTTGTCAGCTGTCACGGGCTGCTTCCTGGGGGTGGAGGCCTGGTCGAGGACCGGGCCGCGGGGACACTAAAGCCCCGAAATCATCTCAAGATAACCTCAAGATAGTGTACCTCTGTGGCTCTCTCCTCACATAGTGTACCTCTGTTGCTTTCACCTCACATAGAGTACCTCTGTGGCTCTCTCCTCACATAGTGTACCTCTGTTGCTCTCTCCTCACATAGTATACCTCTGTGGCTCTCTCCTCACATAGTGTACCTCGGTTGCTCTCTCCTCACATAGTGTACCTCTGTTGCTCTACCGTCATATAGTGTACCTCTGTTGCTCTCTCCTCACATAGATTACCTCTTTTGCTCTACCCTCACATAGTGTACCTCTGTTGCTCTCACCTCACATAGCGTACCTCTGTGGCTCTCTCCTTACATAGTGTACCTCTGTTGCTCTCACCTCACATAGTGTACCTCTGTGGCTCTCTCCTCACATAGTGTACCTCGGTTGCTCTACCCTCACATAGTACACCTTACACTATGTGAGGAGAAAGCACATCTTACACTAACTAGCCTTAACAAGGGAGGCACATCTCACATTAACCAACATTCTC